ACACACACACACACACACACACACACACACACACACACACACACACACACACACACCTTCACACCATGCCCCACAGCAGTGTCACAACATGGGAAGAAAGTGGGATTTGGGTCAGAAGACTTGAGCTGTCCTCTGGCCGTGTGAAATGGCAAGTCACTTCCACTCTGTGCTTCAGTCTCCTCAGCTACATGTTGGAGACGATAATGCAACACCCATCACAGAGGCTTACGGTGAGAGTTCACAAACTCTTCCTGTGTGCAACTTTAACCCTTCTTTTCCAAATGTCTAATTACATAATACAGGAAGATATTTATTCATATACTTTAGTTTTTTAAATCTTAAGTAATATAGGTAAAGCAAATGTTGTTTTGACCATGTCCCTTGTTGCCTTTCCCAGTGGTAATCACTGTTGTCAATCTTCCAGACCTTTCTATATGCATTTTATAGATATTTGCTATACAGACTCCTATGACATATAGTTTTGTAAGGTTTGTCTGTCAACATAAAGGGGATTATCTGGTACGAATTTTCCTGCAGCTTGCTTTTTCCTCATAGTAGCATGTTTCAGAGATGTTTCTGCCTCAGTACGCTGCCCACAGTTTATTTAAACATCCTCTAATTGATAGTGTTTGGAGTTGTTTTCAGCATTTCACTGTTACAACCAGTACTGCAGTGAATGGCCTTGGGTGTACAGCTTTGCGCACTCGCACTGGCATTTCTGTAGGATGGACACGGTCCACGTGCTATTTTTCATGCTGATTCAACACATTGCAACCCTAGCTTTTTGTATTCAGTGCCTGTTTGTTGGTGGCTCTGAGCTGGCCTTTCCATGACATGGATCCCCGAGAGCCTCACAGCCTCACCTCTGGGAGGACAACAGACATAAGCCTAGGTCCTAGACACGGCAGGGTCAAGCCAAGTGTGTAGCCAGGGGGCGGGCCCTGGCCAGTAGGGTGAACCAGGAAAGTTTGCTTTGGCTCCTCTGCCCTCTGTGCACGCCCTCTCCCTCCCTGCTAGTCCACTCTCCCCCTACCTCTATCAGAATGAGACAGGTGACCTGGTTCCAGCACTAGAAAAATAACCATCAGCAAGTCACGCAGGGTCTTGTATTCAGCTGGCTACTAACTCAAGTACTTGCTGTCCTTTTAGGTATTAGTTTAATAGGTTAACCCATTTTTAGCTGTCCACTGAGATCTTAGCTACCAATAAGATGTTAACTGTAACCAAGGTATTTACTCTCAACCAAGACGTTAGCTAACAATGCTTACCATCACCCAGGAGGGCTATCAGTATGTAACTTTCCCCTATCATGAATGCTTGCACATGATGTAATCTCTGATAATGTCTTTTTTTTTTTTAAGATTTTTATTGGGGAATTGGGGGATGGGAACAGCGCCGGGGAATTGGGAGAAGGGGAACAGACAAGTTGCTGTCCTTTTGTTCTTCAGTCTAGTTGTGGAGGACGTTGCTTCACTGGCCCAAGTTGGCACCATCATTGCGCTCTTCCCGGGCAAGGCAGATCAGTCGCCAGCTTCTGGATGGCCACTCACGGTGGCTGCTGGCCGCTCACGCTGGCTGCTGGCTACATACGGTAGCCCATGGCAACCCACTGCAGCAGGGGTTGCAGCCTACGCTGTCGCCCACAACTCCTGGCAGCCCAGCTCCAAGTTGAGCTGTTGTTCAGCATCTTAGCTGTAGAGGGCAGTGTCACTGGCCCTCATATGTGGGATCCCAACTGGGGCCCTCTGATGTCCCAAGCCAGCTCTTAACCAATGTGCCACTCGGCTGGCCCTCTGATGTCTTTTGCTCACATTAGACTGTCAGTTTTCTGAAGGTAGGTTCCCTAGAACATAGTCGATGCTCAATAAATATTGTTGGGGATAAGTGAATGAAAAGCCTTCAGTTGACTCACAGGCATGAAGTTGCAGTGATAGGTGGTACAAAGCAGTGGGATTGAATTTAGGGCAGGCTATCCCAGAAAGCACCAGGTAGATAAACATCCATGGCCATACGCCAAGGGCAAGAGCAGAATCAATTTCATTCCTCTTTTCTCCAAGAGAAGAGCCAGCTGGCTGCTGTAGGAGGCCTCCTGGGTGAATGCTCTTTCGAGGGGCCACCCCCAAACCTGATCAGGTCCAAGCCTTCTAGGTTGAGAGATTCATTTTCATTAGCTCACCCAGGGGTGACTGGGCTCTGGGAAATCAACCAAGCAAGCTACTGATTGATAAGCCAGATCAGCAATTTATTAACTTCTGCTGGCAGCTATGACTGCTAAGCAGCCTGTAGCATTGGGGTTCCCCTTCTCCTTGCTTGTTCTCTCTACAGAAGGAAATTTATTTGGGACTCCAAAATCAAATTCAGAAGGAGCATAGAATGAAGTGAAATTATACTAAACAATGATAATAGTCCATGTCATCTACACTGTCCTATATTTACCCTCGAAACCACACTGTGGTGTGGTCATTTTGGGACTCCTATCCCATTTTGTAGATGAGGACTCTGAGGGCAAATGATGGCTACTGAGGGATGGAACTCACACTCAAACCCAGGTGTTCTGGCTCCTGTCCTGTGTTCCCAGGTGCCCTTCCTTCAGTGCTACTGAGCTCAGAGAGGCTGACATATGCTGCACAGAGCTCCCTCATCCCTGGCTATGACTCTTCATTTTCTTTCTCTTAAGGCCACACAGCTTCCCCTAATAACATCTCTGCCTTCTTGATGAGGCACAGGAGACACCAGAGGCTCAGCATCAGTGTACACAGGTTCTCAAGAGGGCAGCTCTCCTTCTGCAGATAATAACAATAAAGCCACACTAATAGGCACCATTCATTAAGTGTTCACCATGTGTCAGGCACTGTGCCAGGGGCTCTGCACACATTGTCTCCCTGTCACAACAACCTCAGGAGGAAAGCACTCATCTCCCTTTTACAAATGTGGACTCAGGCTCAGGAAGACTAAATATCTTGCCCAGGGACCTACCACTATTTAGTAGTGGAGGTGAGGCTGTAATCCAGGTGGTCTGACTTTCAAGCCCACACTTATAATCACCCCCCACCTCCCCACCTTTGAGGGTGATGTGCCTTGATGTCCCACCTCCTTGTGTTGCTTCCTGTTGGAGCCTCTGCCCCCTGTGCAAGGATCCTCGCAGGCTTCCATGGGGCTGCACCTAAAGCATTTCCAAAGAGCCTAAGTCCTAGGTCCCCAGGAAGTCGTTGTCTGGGGTGAAGGAAAGGGAGCTGGGCCCCAGCCTCCAGGGTAAAATACAAGCTTCATGGGCAGGCTCCAGCCCCCTCCCTCTGTTTATTTCCCCCTGCTCCTGCCACACTGAATTCTTCACTCATCATACCATGCCCCTCACCTCCAGGGCTCCCTTAGGCCTTCTCAGTCTAGCAAACTCCTACTCATCCTTCAAAGCCCAAGTAAAGTGTCATCTCTCTTGGGATACCTTTCTCCTGCCCAATCAGTCCTAATTATGGCATTTTATTGTAATCATCTCATTGTCCTCCACTAAGCAGTAAGCCCCCAAAGGCAGACATTTGTATTCCCAGTTGTCTATGCCACTCTCAGCAAGCCGCTGGCACCAGCTCTTGCCCCATGCATATTTATGGTATAATGAATATTTCAGAAGACCCAAGGAACACAGGTCCATGCACAAGTGACGGAAGAGCCGGGCACAGCCCAGTTAACAAGAATGTGAATCGATTTAAAGAATTCCAATCCCATGTGGATCAGTGGTTCATAACCTTTGAGACACTGGTGGAACTTTTTGGCTTCTTTCTCCCAGAAAAGTACACCATGCCTGTCAAATTTCATATGCTACATCTAGGGGGGTTCTGCTCTGTATGCTGGGACCACAGAGAAAAGCTATATGGGAGGAATAGGTATTAGTGTAGACAGTGGGAAGGCAGGAGGGCAGCAGGGGGGCAGAGAGTAGCCCTCTCTAAAGTAATAACTGTTCATAGTCCAGTAGGCCAAGAGGGAGCCCTGGGGAGAGACCGTCTCTGGGCTGGAGGCACATTAACCCCAGGTGCTGCCTGTAAGCAGCAGAGCAGGCTGGTTAAACATGAGGGTTCTGGAGCAGGCCTGCTTGGGTTCAAATCCTGGCATTGCAACTTCCCAGCTGTGTAACCTTAGGCAAGTACTTACTATCTCTGGGCTGTGGTTTCCTCTGGGGATAATAGAATCCCTACTCAGTAGGGATATTATTAAACATAAGTGGGCTATTGCCTGTAAAGCACCTAATAAGTGCCCATTCCCTGCTCGCCTGTAAAGCACCTAATAAGTGCCCATTCCCTGCTCGCAGCTATGTGAAACATTCATTTATCTTCTAACAGCAGGGCCCTGAGGGAATGGCAAGAAGACTAGGCCCTCGCTTGAAGGTCCCCTCCTCCAGGAAGCCTTCCCTAACTCCCTGTCACACTCACGTAGGGTCAGGTTCCTTATGATCAGTACCCCATGCTTTGGTTATTCTCATCAGACTAACAGTTACTTCCCACTAGAGCTTCGCTCTACACGGTAAGAGGTCTTGTCTGTTTTGTTCTTTGCTGTATCCCTGTGCCTGGCACATAGTAGATGTTCAGTTAATAGGTGTTAAATTAGGGACAGAAGGTGTTGGGAAAGTTCCAGATACCGGGCTGTCACAGGAAAGTCACTGAGCAGCCAGGCAGCAAGTGATGGTAACACAATCTGGAGCGGGCTGGGGTGGGGACTGGGCCCCTTTGGTCAGTGTCACAGGGACTGAACCTTCTGACTTCTCTCTCTTCCCCTTCCCTCAGTTCCTGGCATTTGACACCCAGTTGCTTATGGGTAACCGACGTCACTCGCTGAGCCCCGAGGAATATATTTTTGGAGCCCTCAACATTTACCTAGACATCATCTACATCTTCACCTTCTTCCTGCAGCTTTTTGGCACCAACCGGGAATGAGGAGTCCTTCCCACCCCTCCTTCCTTCAGAGAATGCTCCCTTGATGGTCCTCTGACCCTCCCTGTGCTCCTGCAAGCCCAGATATAAACTAGCTGCTAGCCCGGCCTGTGCCCAGCCTGCTCACTCCCTCAGCCCAACCTTTATCCTGACCCTCTGCAGCTTGTAGCAGTGCCACCTGGGGGCCCTGCAGCACCAAGGTCACGATCCACTGTGCCGCCCTTCCCCCCAATTACATCTCCCAAAGTGGGATGGTGGAGGCTGCTGGAGGCACCTCTGAGTTTGAGGACCCAAGAGACAAGTGGGAGGAGATCAGCAAGATTTCAGACGTGGGAAAGAGACACCAGGAAGCCTGGCTGAGGCCTGCACCCCCACCAAGATTCCTCCTAAGGCTGCCACAGCTGTGTGAACCTTGGGGCACACTGTCCTGTGTCCAGTCCTCCCCTCCTTTCTTTCCTTCTAGGTCAGGCATTAACGTTTTGTAGGGAAGCAGGTGGAGGGATAGCTGGGAGATGAGGTGAGGGTGTTCTGCAGGTGGGGGATATGGGTGGATAGTATGGCTGCCCATCCTCTCTCAGCCGTAGGACCACTAGCTTGTTCTAGGGACTTGAGCCCTGAGACCAGGAGCAACCAGAGAGGGGTAGGAAAGCAGCGCCATCTATAATTGTCTTGGTTTACCCTCCTGGGTCATGACAGAGCACTGTGATGGCAGGAGGCCCTGCTCCTAAGTGGGGGCCTGCCCTGAAGCCCCAAGGGAAGTGGGAACAGTGCCGCCAGCTGAGGGGGGAGGGATCTGGTCTCGGCAGCACTGCCAGTTCACCCCAACCTGCGTCCATCTGGGAGGCGTGTGGGGTTAGCAGGACTGAGACCTACTCCTCTTAGCCTCTCCTCTTGGCGCCCCCAGGATGCTCTCACAGGCCTGAGGCTGAGTGCTTGGGCCCTAGAGGACTGGATGTTCTGAGGGAGGGAGGGTCATTCTACCTAAACCAGCCCCATCTAGAGGGAATCTACCCTGCCCCCAGCCCTTCCCATGGCCTTTCTGCACATCTTATTTCTTAAACCCTCCCCAACCTGATTCCATTTGCTGGCTTATCCCCAGCCAGGCCCCCTGAGGCCTCAGTTGGCAGTACCTATGTCCCTCCCTCTAGCTTCTCTGGCCACTCTGCACAGAGTTGCTAAGCCCCCTCCACTCCTTATCTCCTCATCTCTAATTTTGAAGCTATCCAGCCAGGGCCAGTCCCTCCAGCTGGTCCCAGGTGAGGAGGCCAGGTCTCCTTATCAGCCTCTAGGCGGTTGAGATCTCAGGCAGAGAGTGCGTCAGCCACCCAGCCCCCTGCAAGCCCTGCTGGGGAGGGGACCAGGGGGCCACGCCTGGGGGAAGCGTGCAGCCAGCACCCTGCTAGCAGCCAACTCCCAGCCAGTGGAAAGTTACTGGGTGGGGTCAGAGAGGTTCAGAGTGGATTCCTCTCCCTCCAGGGCCACCTCTCTTATTCCTATGCTGAGGGACATGTTTGTCCCTGGGGAGGGTGACTAGGTATGCTATCTATGTTCCCAACCCCTCCTTCCCCACCCTTCCTATTTTCAGCTTTCAAGAAATATTGCAGAAGCATTTGAAGTTTTGTTCCATCTAGGATATTTGAGGAGAGAAGGAACCAAGAAGTGATTGTGGTGTTTGTGTGTGAGATAGAGGCAATTGGGAGCATGGGTGGGAGGTCTACTATGTGCTGTCCTAAATCAATCTATTTCAGCAATCCTACAAAGGCGGTATTCTGCATATCCCCACGGCAGAGGGAAAAGCTGAGGTGATCAAGGGGCTTGGTAATGAGCCCAAGGTCATACAGCTAACAGGTTGGATAGGACTGGAAGGAGTCTGCATGGTGGTCAGGCCCTGGTGTCTCTGGGGATTTGTTGTTGCCCTGACATCCCATCTCCTCTCCCACTACCACCACCAGTTTCCCACTCTGTGGTTTCCACCTCCTGATACAAGCTGGGAGGCAGGACTCTGGTGTCTGATTCTCAGCCTCACTGCCACAGGCTCATGGTATTGGGAGAGTATTTCTTGCTGCCTGTGATTCACGTTTGCTATCAGCAAGAAGGAAGACCATGGCCAGGGTGGTGCAGAAGAGGCACCAGAACACTATTTCCACTGACTTCGTCATCCAGGTGCCCCTTCGGTTCCTTTCCGAATCTCTGGTCCCAGTTCTGAGGGGTCAGAACTCTCCCCTTTTGCCCTGCCGCTCTCAGCCTGGGCCTTGGTCTGCTTTCTCAGAATCCACACTCCAAGCCCTCCTCTTCCTAGGGCAGTGTATGCATAAATGGGGGATTGAGAAACTTATCAGAAGCTGAGATCCAAAAGCTGGGGGAAAGAAGCAAGCTCTCAGCAATACACAGTGTGACAGCGGCAACTCAGAGTATGCTGCAGACTCTCCTACTCTGGGTCCTGAGAGGGGTCCAGGGCACGCTGAGCTGGCAGCAGTGCCTGGGCCGAGGCCCTGGCATTCCACCTGCATCCAGGCCCCGAGGAGGCCCAGGAACACCTGGATGGGCCTTGAAAGGAGGAAGGGCCGAGGAATGTGAGATTATGAGAAACCCGAGAATCCTAAAATGGGCGGGTGTCACAAGCTTCAGTGGAGGAGGGGAGCCTCCTGGCCCCTCACATTTTTGGCAGGGGTGCGGCTGGGCCCAGGAAGGGGTAGGTTGGATTTCATAAAGCTAGAGGCAGCCAGGAATCTGACCATCTGTGATGTGAGGTCAGAGGTCTCCTGCCGAGGGGAAGACAGACCAAGATATCCTCTCATGAGGATTGCAGATTGGGGACCAGGGAGCCAGGGAGGTGCTTGCAAGTCCCATACATGCTTGCCTCAAATTCCCAGGTGTATGCTTGCCTCCTTCTGTATCACCTGGGGAAGCCCCAGGAATCTTGGTTCTTCCATTCTCTGCTCTTCTTCCCAGGGGAGTCAGGATCAGGCAGACATTCTTACTCTAAAAGGCTCCGCCTCTCCCTTCCCTGGCCCACATGGGGACAAGTCCCAGGGCCTGTCAGCTCTCTTGCTGGGCTGGGATTTCACACCAGCACTTTGCTGCCCCTTGGTGGCTGTCTGAGGGAAAACATGGGCTGGTTCTGAGGCAGAGAAGCAGAAGGGCCCTGTAGCCCAGGTTGTGGGCTGGATCTGCCACTGTCTTCCATTCCAGCTCTTCTCAGATCTCCTCAGACCTCTCATCAGCCTTGAACTTTCCCTTTAGTCCTGCCATTGTCGCATCTTTTGGACACTGTTTACCTGTCTGCTGGAAACCACCCGTGCACCACCCCACCCTGGAGCTTTCTCCCAGTGTCTGAGGACAGAGACACATCCTCAGTCAGGGCTGTCCTTCCCGGGACTCACCTTCCCTGTCCATGACTGACAGAAAATAAGAATAAAGTAATTATGATACCTGAGGTGTTTCCTTTGCCTGCCTTTTGTTTGTCACCTCAGATGGCTCGGGGAGTCTGTGTGTGACGTTTAACGGGATTCAGGGTGAAAGGTTCACACCAGAGCTGCTTCTCCCAGTGTAGCTAAGTGTGAATTAACTCTCCATGTTTATGTTAATATACACCCTTTGCGGAGACTCTTGGGATCCCAGAATTGGAAGGAATCCCAGAGAACTGGCACCTGTCACAGCCCTACTAGAGCCTCCTCCCTAGAGGCCTTCTACTGGAGCCTGTTCTTTTGTGCATCCATTAGAAGATTCTTCCTTATTTTGACCCAGAATCTGTTTTCCTAAAAGGAAAACCTGTATCGTACCTGGAATGATTCCCCAAGAGCAGCAACTTTAAGTCACCTCTCCTCTGAGGCTTTTCTCAGTCTTTCCCCCAAGTACCCTGGCCACTTCCACCCTGGAGCCCCCTGCCCCGTACCACTCTAGCTGCACTATAACCATTCCTGCCTCCTTCTATAAAACTTGAGCTCCCTGAAGACACGAACTGTGTCTTGTTCACCCTTGAATTCACAGGACTTATGGCACATAGTCTCAATAAACAACTTTTGAATAAATAAAGAAAGGAATGAATGAATCCACTCTTTTATTGTACCTAAGAGGGAACTAAGGAGAGGAAGGTGTAGTGACTTGTCCAAGTTTATACACAAGTTAGTGACTGGGAGTGAGATTGGAAGGTGCATGGGGGCGATGATTATATTACCAAGTTCCTTTGGGGAACTTGGGTCCAAGGGTGGCATTAGGAAGGAGACACGTCACACTGGAGCAGTGAGAGACATTCTCCTTGCCTTTGACACGGTTTTGGTATAAATTCAGGTGGAGCAGGGAAAGGAGCAAGGCAATAGTTAGGGGGCTCTGACGAGAGAATAAGTAACACAGCACCCCCTGCATACAAAGCATTTCTATAGATAGAGAAGCGAGGGAGAAAACACCCAAAGAATAAGGGACTATTTAACAAATTGTGATATGCATAGTCTATGAAATATTAAGTGGCCATTAAAAGTGATGATATGGTTAAATATTTACATAGTCACAATATTGCATAATATTAAATTAAAAAGCAGATTACCAAATATTAGGTAAAGTATAAATATGATCACATTTTTTTAACTTTAAAATACATTTTATGGCTCTTCCTTAAGTAAAGTGCCAACTAATAAATATAGAAAAAAATATATGGATAGAATTAGAAAATTAATTTTTTTGCAATAATCAGAATAATAATTGATTCAGGCAAGAATCAAAAGATGCCAAACTATTAGGTGAAAGTTTGAGAAGGAACAGAATATTTATATAGTTTCACCTTATCCCTACACATATTACTTTTTTCTTTTAAAGGGTTTTATTGAGATGTAATTCACCCATTTTAAATACACAATTTAATGGGGGTCTTTTTTAGTGTATTCAAAGGGCTATAAAACCACTACCATAATCTGTAGAACATTTTTGCCCCTTCCATTAGCAAGCAATCAGTCCCCCATTCCTTCCACTCCTTGGCAATCATTAATCCACTTTCTATCTGTAGGAATTTGCCTATTCTAAACATTTTTTGTAAATAGAATCGCACAAATATGTGGTCTTTTGTGACTGGCTTCTTTAATTTAGCATAATATTTTCAAGGGTCATCCATATTGTAGCATGTGTCAGTACTTCATTCCTTTTTATGACTGAGTGCTAGTCCATTGTATGGATATGCCACATTTTGTTTATCCATTCATCAATTGATGTATATTTGGGTTGTTTTCACTTTGGGCTATATGCACGATACTGTTATAAACATTTGTGTACAAGTTTTTGTGTGGACATATGATTTCATTTCTCTTGAGTATATACCTAGAAGTAGAATAGCCAGGTCATAGATACCCATGTTTAACCTTTTGAGGAACTGCCAAATTGTTTTCCATTTCACATTTCCACCAGCAAGTTATGAGGCTTCCAATTTCTCTGCATCCTCACCAATACTTGTTATTGTCTATCTTTTGTGATTTGGCCATCCTTGTGGGTATGATGTAGTGTTTCACAGTGGTTGTGATTTACATTTCCCTAATGATTAGTGATATTTAGTGTCTTTTCACATGCACAGATTTTTTTTCATAGATTTTTTTAATTACAAAGGGAAATATAATAGCATTACAGCAGAGAAACCTGGTAGATTCCACCTTAATCCTGAATCAGTTTACATCATTTTTCTCTTATACCTAAGCTGTTGGGTGGATACAGAGATCTTCAAGGCTCTAGGAGGGGGGAGCCACAAAATGAAAGGCACCTGGGTTCCTAAAAGCCACCTGGCAGCCAAAAATACCAGCTCCGGACTTTTATGTGAGCAAGAAATAAACTTTTATTTTTCGAGCTACCAGAAAAAAAAGTGAAACCATTTATATCACAAATAATTGACACTATGTGCCTTCTGATGTGATGTACTGAGAAGGACACACTCTACTTATATAATTTTTACCAAAAAAAAATGCAAAATGTGAGTCATCATGAGGAAACATTAGATAAAAGCAAATTGAAGGATATTCTACAAATTAACTGGCCTATATTCCTCAAAAATGTTCTGAAATGTAGGCTTTTGGTGCTATCTCTAAAGGATTTGTATAATATTAAAAACATTAATTTGTTTAATATTAATTAAGTATATATAAATACACACATACATTTTATATATACTTATGCATAGGAAAAATCTATATGGATATACCCTGAAATGTTAATTACAGTTATCTTCAGGTGGTGGGTAAGACTTTATTTAGGTCTTTTCTTGTGGTTTATCTAGACTTACTAATTTTTCTATACTGAGAAAAATACATAACCTGTGTAATAAAACGTACTGTAAAGGGAAGTTTAAAAATTCAATAAGGGCCAGCCAAGTGGCGCGTTGGTTAAGAGTTGGCTTGGGACGCCAGCTCTGAGCAGCAGGGCTTGGGTTTGGATCCCACATGTGGGCCAGTGATGCCGCGCCCTCTACAGCTAAGATGGTGAACAACAGCTCAACCTGGAGCTGGGCTGCCCTGAGTCGCTGGCGACAACGTAGGCTGCAGTGGGGTTGGCCGGCAACTGGCGTGCGCTTTTGTGAGTTGCTGTGAACAGCCGTCCAATGGCCGGTGAGCGACTGCCTCACCCGGGAAGAGCGCAATGATAATACCAACATGGGCCAGTGAAGCAACGTCCTCCACAACTAGACTGAAGAACAAAAAGGACAGCAACTTGTCTGTTCCCCTTCCCCAATTCCCCAACGCTGTTCCCCTTCCCCAATTCCCCAATAAAATCTTTTTTAAAAAAAAACAAAAAACAAATAGAGGGAAAAAGTTAAGAAGGAGGGAAGGATGTTATGAAAGAAGAAGGAAAAAGGGAAGGACAGAAAGAAAGCTGGCAGTAGTGACAGTTACCAAGTATCACCTACCTGGCACATTGAATATCTATTCCTGAGTCTCAATTTCTTTGTCCTCTGTGTAAAACTATACATTGTTGGGAACCTATTCCTTTTTTATAAAACAAGCATTCGTTCATTTAGGAGGCATTTATTTAGCTGCAAGAACCATGCCAGATGCTGGGGATACAAAGACAGGACATGGTCTTTTCCTTCAACAAGTTCATAGTAAATTTAAAAATTGCAATACTGTATGGTAAAGGGAGTACTCAACACATCTAGATAGAGAGAGGGAAATATTATTTTTGAAGGACAGTGGGTGGTAATGTCTTCACAAAAGAGAACACCCATAAACTGGGTTTCAGGAGAGTAGTTGTGGGTGAGGGGAGGGAAGGTAAAGTCCAGGCACAGGGAACAGCATGTGCAAAGACACAGAGCTCTCACCCAGCACATTCAGGGAACTCCAAATGGCTCAGCATGGCTGGAATAGAGACGTTGGAATGGGGTTGAGGAGGTGAAGCTGAAGAAACAGACAGAAGGTCAGTTTTAGACGACCTTATAGGTTACCTTAGGCACTGAGGCATGCTCTATGGGCCAGCAGCCTTGGTATCACCTGAGAGTTTGTCAGAAATGCAGACCCCAGGTTCACCCCAGACACCCTGAATCAGAATCTGCATTTTAATAAGAGGTTCAGGTGATTCGTTTGCATTTAAGAGGCCCTGATTTAAGGACTTTGGACTTTATTCTGTAGGCACACGGAGCCTGACACAGTCAGATCTGTTCTCCCTTGGCGCCCTTAACAGGAGACAGTCCTTTATCTCTTCTTCCCAGGCCACTCCTTCCTGGTTTCTTCGCCACCAGTTCTGCCTCCCAAGAAGCCCAGTCCTCCCCCCACTGCTCTCCTTCACAGACCTTGCCTCAGCCACCTTGTCCTGGGCTCACCTTATAACATGTTTGAATTCAGGAAATCCCTTGAGTTTGAAAGATGACAAATGAAAATGTAAGATTGTATGATTCTATGAAAGAAAACTTTGCACAGCAGGGTGACCTTGTGGAACTCATTATGCCTAACCAGTGGTACGTGCTGAAAACATAAGTAGGCTCAAATAGCATTTAGAAAAATTCACAGATGCTAAGTCCATGGTGAATTAAGAAGGGAGGCTGAGAATGCTTGCAGACAGGGTTCCAACCTTTTCTTTCTTTCTTTCTTTCTTTTTTTTGTAATAACCTGTATTAGTCTTTTCGCTGACTATAAAACGAATACATGTGCATTATTGAAAGCTTGAGAAATACATTAGTTTGAAGACTAAAATAGAAGAGCATCAGAGAAAAAATCAGAAAGGGTTAAAAACAAAATGGGAGAGAGTGAGAGAGAGAGACAGAGAGAGAGAGAGAAATCAAGAGTACACACACACACACACACACACACACACACACACACACACACACACACACATTCCTCCTCTTCCCACTAACCCCCGGGGTCCTTCTGATTTGGATATATCCATAATTGTGGGTTGAGCAATATACAATGTTTGCATTATTAAGACTGTAAACCCTGTTGGCCACTGAGCTATGTAATATACAAGGGT